TGTTGTACTTCAAGATGGATCTAGAAATTACTTTTTTTACTATGAAGGCAACCCCATTTTTCCTTGTCTTTTCATCTCCGGAGTAATATATCATATGGTCATCTGACTCAAAATGCCCCATGCCAGTCCATCTCATCTCTCCAATGCCTAATATATCAATATTTATGCGTTCCAATAGCAGTCCATAGTACACTAAATACTCGTCTCCAGCACCACAGTTGAAAGGCATCAATTCACCTTCTATCCTCCCTAGTCATTGTCCAACTCTCTTATGCATAACAAGTGATTGCAAAGACCACAGCTTATATCAGATGCACCTTAGTCTCCAGAGTGACACCATTGCTCTTCAGTACTTTGGAGAGGTCCCTAACAGCAGACTTTCCCATCGCAATACGTCTTTTAATTTCCTGACTGCTGGTGCCTAGAGTGTTGACTGTGGAGCCAAGCCGACTAAAGTTGTTAACAATCTCAATCTCTTCACCATCCATCCTGATGCTGCCAATTGGCCAAGTGGTGAGAATTTTTGTCTTCTTTATATTGAGCCTCAATCATATTGAAGGCTGCAGTCCTTGACCCTCTGCAGGAAGCGCTTCAAGTCCTCCTCAGTTTCAGCAAGCAGGGTTGTGTCACCTGCATAAAGCAGATTGTTGATAGATCTTCCACCAATCCTGACTCCACACTTCTTCTCACAGAGCCCAGTCTCCCGGATAATCTTCTGCTTACAGGTTGAAAAGGTATGGAGACAGGACACATCCATGTCATACACCCTTCCCAATTTTGAACCATGCAGTGTTTCCTTGCTCTGTTCTGATGACTGCCTCCTGGTCCAAGTATAGGTTTTGCATATAAACATGAAAGTGTTCAGGTATTCCCATTCTTCTCAGAATTAGCCACATTTTGTTGTGATCCACACAGTTAAATGCTTTTGCATAATCAATGAAGCACAGACATTCCACTGGTACTCTCTGCTTTCAGCCAAGATCTATCTAATTTTATCTATAATATCCCTAGTCCCTCAGTCTCTTCTAAACCCAGCTTGCACTTCTGGCAGTTCTCTGTTCATGTGCTATTCCAGTAGTTTTTTGATAGGTTTCAGCAGTATCTTGCTTGCATTTGATATTAATGATATTGTTTGAGAATATTTACAAAAAGTCTGAAATAGTTTGGCTAGAATTTTTAGGACTCCTTTAATGGATGACAAAACAGCTCAGAGAAGGGAGTTATTTGGGGACATATAATGACTTTGTAAGGAAACAAGGTCTTTTGTTTTTGTTCATATTTTGTTGTGTTTAGGTGCAAATTTACAGTGCAAATTAATTTCCCTTTCAGCAATTTATACAGAGTGTTTGCTGATATTGGTTGCAATCCCCAGAATGTATCTGTGTTATTCCTGTATCTAGTCTACCTTGAGTTGTCTGTTTTATGTTGGCCCCATTGGAAACTGTGTTTTGAATCCCTCCCAAGGCCTCATAACAAAGACAGCATAGCTCAGAGCCATAGGAGAAGTGTTAAATGCTAATTCACTAGAAAGGAAAATGCTTGTGACTGAATGGACAGAGAAACATTTTCTGGACTGGGAAGCATTTCAGCTGCTTTCTGCTCTGAAATTCTGCAAAAAAGCTGAATAAGAGAAGGGGACTGGCACAGCTAGGTCCTAGATGATTTTAAGATAAGGCTAAAGGGGTTTTGTTTTTGTTTTTAAATAGCATTCAGTTTATTACAAATATTTAATATTGGCTTCCCATATGTCCCCCCTTTTGTTTTTATCATAATTATGTTATCATCTAGATGAGTATCCTTTATACACAAATTAAACATAATAAACTCAAAGAAATACTTTTAAAAATCTCCATATGATCAGAAGAACCCAGGTTGAATATTCCTTGAAAGTCTGTTTTAATTGTCCCAAGGTTAAAGTTTTATTTGATATTCAGAGAGATTAAGACAGTGATCAGTCCTGCACTTTAATGTTGGATTCATCTCTTCAATCTCATCCTCATTTCTCTTTAAAGTACTCTCTCAAGCATACTGATCTAGTTGTCATTTATTCCCTTTTTGCCACAGAGCCTTTAACAGTCGGTTCCTCCTTTGTTGACTTTATTGTCATTGTTGTTAGGTGTCATCAAATTGAGTATGACTCATAACGACCCAATGAACAACAGACCTGAATCCCGTCCTACCCTATGCCACCCTCATCATCTCTGAAACACTTGAGCTCATTGCTATAGTCACCATGCCAGTCCATCTTGATGGGGCTTTTCCTCTCATTCACTGAGCCTCCACTCTTCCAAGCATGATGTTCTTTTCCAAGGAATAGCCTCTCCTTAGCAACATGCCCAAAGTATTAGAGACAAAGCTTTGCTATCCTTGCCT